AAWTYMMCYWARGGRRGGKKGGGKTTTCWTATTGTTTGTTTGCTATTTTTATTGCTTTGCTTAGATGAATATTTGTCATTTRCGCCTTCCTTTCCCTTTGAATATCATCTTTTTAGCCTTTCCTTTTCAGTTTTCAYTTTCTATTGCTTGAATAAAAGCACAGCAAACTCATTCTCAAGTAATTAGATTAATTAGTGTTAAGAAAGCTACTTCCTTAGCGTACTTAATGAATAAATCCATCAATCAATTAATACCCAATGAATGGACAAACTTCTCTGCCTGTAAACTATGTGGAACAGCAAACTTTGCAAAACCCATTGATCCCACTGTTGATACTCGWCCCAACGAAAAACAAACATAAAAACCAACCTAAATTCCCATTCTGACAATTTAATCTTCACTAGCAATGTGAAAAAAGGCTGAGACGGTTGGAGAGATGACGGCTGAGATTTACCACTGAGCCGACTTAATCACACGTGTCATGTGGACAATTAAGCTTGGTTATTGCTCTTTCGCTTCCATGCCGTGTGACACGCGATAAATGGCTTCATGTCAATGGCTTCAGAGATTACTAAAAGATATTTTCGAAACGTTTCAGTTATGCGTCGCGCTGTAATAACACCAAGTACCTTTCGATAGTGAATGACATCAGGAAGCCATTGAATTTAACGCGCAATAGAGAAAATATGCTGTCATTTAATTTTCATGATTGGCCAGTGATGCCATCGGAAAAAAATGAAAATATATCCTTGTAAACGAAATGAGTATTTTTTGTTAACGGCTTCTRTATATCAAGCTAGCGACAGAATAAATGTTCCTATGATTCATCGAGCATGTTTTTAATTTGTAACCGTCAGAGGTAAGAGTGCTTACATTCATATACATCACGCGATATCAATCCTCAATGATTGATTCACCGATCATCGCGTTTTCATCATCTTTCATAAGTATCACTTTCTATTTTTTGTCAAAGTAGCACTGATACCATCAAAGGTGTTTTTCTAAAATCAGTAACTATGGCATGTAGAACACTCAAAAATTCTMGTTAAATAATCTACTTTATTGAATTTAAGACAACATTTATGCTCTTTTGGAATTGAAAAATAGAAATGTTACCATTTGAAGAGCAAATACTCACAAGAAAAAAAGATGAAAGTTGTATAAAACGGATATATGTCATATCCTGTGCACACCATCGCCTGTGTTCTATTGATATTAGATATTATGTCTACTAAAAAGAATAGATATTCTATGTTTGGACTGTGTGCGATCATACGAGTACCGAACYCTAATCTACAGTTCCTCGACCGTGTAGTTATTACCGTTCGAAGCGTCACTTACTAKWAGGTAAAYGTTTCGTTCTAGTGGTAATTGATGAGTGAAGACTTTTTGAGGTTTTTAAGTGACGATGTTGAATAGATCGGTTTGCCTTTCGCTTAGTGTGTCTAACAATCGTGGCTTTATTAACAATAGACAACTACCCATAGCGTGTATCGCTAAACTGTTCAAATCACGCTTATCGTGATGATAGTAATAGTTTTACAACACCTTACTACAAGGGGGGGCTGTGGCGTTAAAACACTCTTTAAACCGAATATAACCTTCAAACTGCAAGGTTCAAGTGATTTGCTAAGATAATTTGAAGTTATTTCGAGCATGAGGAGTCTTTGATGACCGAAACGTTCAAAACATGACCTCAGGGTTGTGTCTTTGCARAATCGTCAATATTAACATGAAGCTGTGATGAACTCGTAAACATAGATCTTTATTGCTTACTGACGCGACGCTTTAAACTAGTACTAAACGAGAATAAAATCCCAGTCATTTTACACAATTCTAATACCTTAAAATCTTAAAAAAACGAAGTTAGCTGTGRYTGAAAGCGTTCTATTGTCAGTGMGCATTTTGTACTTCGTGTATTTTATTGAAGTCCTGATAACGATCTCGACGAAGCGTTCTTTTTCCAATTTATATGCTAAGTACTGACCATACCGACAGCAAAGTGCTTAAGTTATATTGCCGTCTTTGTTTATAGGAAACAATTAAGAGAAAGAGAGTAGATTGTCTGCACGCATTCTCTGCTAGATCAAGACTACTGCAACTTGAACGCATATGAAGGAATTTATAAGCGCGCGCCATCTTATCTGCACGATTTAAGCATTAAACATATAGGTATCACATTTGCGAGCTTGTAGATATGTAGAAGTTTGACTGACCTATCAATATTACAACGTATCAAATAGACCATTGTCAGTTAATCGATGAAAAAACAATCTTTTGGGCCAAAACAATCATAAACTCCAACTGTTAAACCAGTGCCTTTTTGTTAATAATTCAGCTTTAAAACAACGAGGAACATTAGCTATTAATGTGCTGATTAAAACACTGTATGACCGCGGTGGTTAATGCAGCAAGGCTTAATAGTCAAAATTGCTAAACCAGCTGGTTGGCCCAACATAGAATAACTATCCAATAACTTTTCTTATATCTGTACGTTAATGTACAACATTTTCATCCTAGTAAAAAACAGTAACATACCCTATTAATCTACCATTTAAAGCGGTATCGGTGGATTCTGCTGTCAACAGTCTACCGTCAATTTACCAATGGGAAACACATATCCCTACTGAGGCTGTTTACGTCTCTCTGCTTCCATGATTGTCTGCAAAAGTGCTTTTCTTAAAGTCCCTGACATATAATCGAGAATATAACACAAGACTAGTGACRTATTAGTGGTGTTTAATAACAAAACCTTTCGCTATGTCATTCAAGCATCTGTTTAAAAACACTCAGTCAAAAATACCTTGAAGAAGGCTATTAAGAGTTCCCTAGCCACTGCAGGACCCCCGTGATTGACATAGAAATTAACAGAATTAGTGATCAAGGGCCGTACTAAATGGCCCGTAGGCTTAAACGTGGAGGCCAACCAATCAAATCGTCCCGTCACGTTACCCTCATTGCCATCGACCAATCAKTTTCAAGGGATGAAATTTTCGAAGTTGGATGTATTTGTCAGTAAATCTTGCTAATTACTCTTATCTGCAATACAATCACGATATTGATTTATGTAATATGACAGAGGATGGCGGCAAGGCTTAGATGACCAGTTTTCCCATAAGGCATACGCTGTCAACTCAAGCTAAATAACACCGAGGCTCAATTGCCTTCATTTGTTTGGTTATCGACTACGCTAACCTCRTCGTGTACTAGTATGTCCTCCATGGGAACATGGCACCCTCATATTTACGATACACAGCCCAAGAAACCGACTCCTTACTTTGTAGCAACGATTCTTGGCCTCGACTCATCCCACATGCCGGCATTTGTGACTAAAAGCTTAAAATCTAAACAAACGCTTCTARAGTCGAACGGAACAGAGTCTGGAGGAGTGAAAATCGAAACCAGTGAGACCACAAGTGGTGTTAAAAAGTCCAACTCACAATCAAAGCTCTCGAGCGACAATATAGGTAGGTGAACAGSCAGTGAATTGAYTGTACATTTGCGGTAATTGCCAAGCTTATCTAATGAGCTTCGTTTAATTCTCACTAGACTCGTCCACAAAGCCCGCTGCATCATCMAAGAASGTAAAWCGMATCGTGAAGGCCAAGTGTGACAAAGATAACGCTAAAATTAGTAAAAAGAAAAAGAAAGCACGAACGACGTTTACAGGAAGGCAAATCTTCGAGTTGGAGAAGCAGTTCAACGCTAAGAAATACTTAACGGCGACAGAACGCAGCGACATGGCAACATTGTTAAACGTAACCGAAACGCAAGTGAAAATATGGTTTCAAAACAGAAGAACAAAGTGGAAGAAGCAGGAAAAGGGAAGTGAAAATGATTCACATATGAAACAGTGTAATAATATCATGACTGAAGGACAATCCATGGAGGATAACTGCTCCGACAGCTCGTCTGATTCCCCTGATAACACTAATAAATCTCGAGAAAAACAATCGGAAAACGACGAAGAAATGAGTGCACCTTCAGATTAAAACCATATAAGCTTTCTCGATTAGATTTTCAAGTGTTCTTGTCTTAATGCGCGAATGGTGATTCGTGTTTCATGCACGGCCGAGCGACGGAAGTACTGCCGCTCCGTGGAGAAGCAATTGTCACTGTTGAATGAAGTGCTAAATTGTTCTCAGAAACTACTCTGGAGTATTGAGCCATGAGGCATTACTGGCTACAAACTATGAAACAAGAGAACCAATCTAGCAGTCCCTATCCTGGGATGTTAAGTTTATTTCTGAGTTCTGTATTGTTTTTCCAATCTCTGTTGGATTTACTAAGTGTTAATAGGCCGTCTGGGCTTCATGACAATTAAATTATTCTCAAAAATAGAGCTGTGTTATTTTGCTCTATGACGTTCTCGCCAAGTTTGTTATCTTGAACAATGGTATCAGCATGAGTTTAAGCAAAATGAAGCAGTCTTAAAACCATAAACATTACCAAAACGTCTCAAATTGTTGATACTGAGTACTGAACAGTTTAGTCCCGATATAATGACCTTCAGTTTCAGCTGCTGAAACGTTGTACTACCCCTCCTATCCACAAAACTATGAGATTTGTATTTAACAAGAAATTATTTTGAACATGAGCCTAAAGGGTATATGATCTTATACGTCTAATTGATCCGTTTGAAGTCCGTCATTGCAAGCGGTCTAGGTGCCCTTCGGCAATGAGCATTGAAGTTGATTTTATGAATCATCACGATTCTACTTTCTTATGATGTGACGATTTGAAAGGTTTAATAAAATTAAGAAGAAAATGATTTGCCATGATATCAATGAAGTTGATAGCTCCTATGTTTATTAATAGTTCCGTTCGGAAGTTGGGTGAATATGAAGTGATAGAGGGGGTTTGGCGTTAAATGTTTCCCTTAGACTGACCTTTTCTTATTTACCTAAACCTCCTATACCTCGAACATATGTATGGATATCGCTCCTTGATCTTTCCATAACTTAGACATGAAATCATTTAACTTGGAATAAAAAGGGGTTTTGAGTTAGAAACTTTAAGTTGATTGTTATTGAAGTCAATTGCGCGTGGTTAATTATAAGTGATCTTTACGGTAAACTAGATATAATAGTATTAGATGTTCTGCCGGCCGACCATGAATTGCTTTCTAATAGGTCGCGCACAAGACATTCACATATAACTATTAAATAAAACCAATTTGTTAAATATCTCACTGCAAGATATAAACTTAATATTAACTATGTAGATGGTTTTTCAGTACATTTAGATTGTTTTTGAACTAGCGCGCATTTTTTATTCAAAAGCCATTCAGTTTTCTAAATGAAGCGTGATGTGAGCTCAAAACTTCAAGAAACTGCTTACTAAATGATCTAATATMTACATAGACCTTTATAGATATTGCTTATAAAGACCAACACCTCGTCTCTGACTGTTCAATGCCCTTAGTACATAATTAGAAACAAATGAGTCCCTGCCTGCACGAAAGTCAATATGGCCGCGATGCGTTATTCGAGAAGAAAAAATCGTTAATAGTGATGCTGTATGGTATCTCGCCGCCACTGCCCAAAAACCCTATCTCCGTCAGGTTATCACAAACGCTATTTAGCCAAAGATTTTAAYTTGATATATCTTAGCGTTGGCTTCGGTCTAATGACACTACAAATCCAATATCTTCTTCTATTCTCAAGGAGTTTTTTGAACACAATTAGCTAGAACTATAGACTAAATTGTTTTAAAGTGATGACTCCCGTCGGTAYAGCGTCCTTGGTGTATTATGATGTTTAAATGTAAAAGGAATCGCTAAAGCGCCAGGAGCATTTATCACGTTGACCGATTGTTGATTCTGGATGTAATGTGTTTTTTCATTTCCTATACGTKCATCTCGGGTAAGGATAAAGAGATGGTTATAAACGTCCAGATTGCTCACACTATTTCTGATTRCAAAATAAAAGGTTTTATGAGTCGACAGAGAGATTTCTAAGCTAAATCCACGTTAAACGCAAAACACGCCATGGTAAAATCAAATGTGAATTATCTCAATAGACGGTCAATTGGTTTGAAGTATAGTGGTAATTGAATTTCATTAATGTTCGGCATGTCGGCTAACAAGAACTAAAACCAATATTAGAAAAACGTATGGCTCGGCTTTACACACTCAAAACAAAGCCATTTTAAAATCTATTTAAAAGAGRAACTCCCCGATAAAACCCATGAATTAATGAAGGAGAATCGAGCGGTTTAGACGATATAAGAGACAAAGTTGGTTAACGCAATTTAACGCTTAAAAAACAACGAGAGGTAAACGAGCACTTAAATGATTTCACAGATTGCCCTCCAAGATTATTGTTACTGACGGCTTGACAAGAATAGACACCCAAAATAGTAGAACATTTGCCACCCAGAGACAGGAYAACAATTGAACGATTTCAGTCTTTTCAATTCTTGTTTCTTGTTTTCTAGATGCGCAAAAAGATTCTCAATTAGCTTAGCGATAACGGTACGATTGAGGTCCAGATGCAATTATCTCGCTAATTATAATCAAAACGACTCCTTAATTATACATGGGCACTACATAGATGTTTTAAGTATTTTGTTATCCATAATTCTATTAGTTTCAGATCGTTTGAGCTCAAAGTTAGATAATAATGGCGTCTCATGAGAGTGTAATTCAGACGTTGTTTATGTATGTAGAATGGTATAGAAGATCGAATGAGTGTAGGGTTTTTTGACCTCTGGCGATTGACACATGCAATTTTCTGTCTGAACACATTGCATTTGTACTTTTGTAACCCGAAATKAGCTTGTTTTCTTAGGGTGCTTTCATAACTATAAGGAACTGAATCCGGCTTTCTCGAGAGTTATAGATCTTTATATGGGGTTCCAAAATAGCAAAGCAGAAACAACGATTTGCTTGACAAAAACTAAATAAGTTAAACACTTAAAAAGTCCATCCTTTCACTCCTATGGGATGATAATATTTAATGTCAAAGAAAAAAATATATCTCCGAAGTATGGATTCGAAATGAAACCAGTAAAGGGGCTCGCAGCTATTTAGCTAACGGATATTAAACAAGTCTTGAAACAAGTGATCAAATTAACGTCCTTTTTCGTAACCTCKAAGTGTACTTGCTTTCATGAGCAGCTTTTTTGTCATTTAAGTTAAGTTTCCGGTTATAATTTTTAATGGCAACTCACAGCACTGCAAACTTTTATCCACTATCTACAATTGGCAGTCCTTGATAGCTTCAGAAAAGCTGTTGTCGGATGTGGTGGATTTTGGATTGAACATTATTGACCAAAGGCTTTGTATCAGAGAGCGAATAAACGACAAAATAAGTTTTGTTTGAACACTACATTAGACTATAAGGGATTACTAATAATCACGGCTTAAT